AATCAGGTTTTTGGCAAAATATCCTCAGGACAGACTGAGGACTGAAGGTCTCCATGCCTGAACTCAATCACCTTCAGCACCACTGACCCAAAGGCACAAGAAAACCCAGCTGCAGTTTGCTCTTAGCGATATTAGGAGGATGAAGAACGGTTTTGTTTTTCTGAACTTCTTGAGTCTGATCAGACGTCTGAAGCTCATGCTGAAAAGAACACCCTGCCCACTGTGAAGCACGGCGGGGACCCAATGATGCTCTGGGGCCGCTTCCCTTCCTCTGGAAACTTGCAGAGTGTGGAGGTCAAGATGGAGTCAATCAGGATATCCTGGGAGAAACTGTCCTGCTGTCTGAGGACGAATGAAGCTTGAGGAAACCCAGTAAGCTTTGACATCATTGGACGTCCAAACAGAACAATGAACCCAAACATATCTCACAGTCCACCAAGGTTTGGTTTAGAAGAAGTCCTGGAGATCCTGGAGTTGTTGTCACTCAGTATATTTAACTCTTACAAGTTTGTGGAAAATATATTTACATTTGACCAAAGTATGTATATTTTTAGAGAATAGTTCTTACCCAAGAGTGTCTACATGTCCATCCACCCAGATCCAGGTGTTGTTAACTTCTCGTAATCCTAGTATCCGTGGTCTTTGTCATGGTAGTATTTGGTGTGATTGCTGACAAATTTCTGTCAGCAGATTATTTAAAATTTTTATAAACCTTCTTATTTCAACCCATCAATTTGTTTTAAATTCTTGTGTTAGTGTATTAATGGTGTCAGATTTTACCTGCTCCTCCAGATCATCAATAACAACCAAATCTGATTGTTTTTCCTGACAGAACGCTCGACTTTGTTCCCAGGTCTTCCAAGGAGATGATTGTTCAAAAAAAAAGTAGCATTTTCCCTGGAAGGGAATCCAGTCTGTCCGGCACGGTTTACACACTGCACACATGAGACAAGAGGAAAAAGCAGAAAGGATCAAAACTTTGATAAAATAATATGAAACAGAAACAAAAATGAGGACATCAAGCAAAGACATCAGGGCTACATTGCAATTCTGTAATATTAGAAGGTGATTAGATTGATCTACCTATTGAGTTCAAAGTGGCGTACCACAGGGCTCTATCCTCAGTTCACTTCTAATAAAAACAAAAATTGTTTGAAATCAAAGCTTCACTGTAAAGCTGTTGCTAATGAATGAATTTTACTGACAAGAGAGCTTAAGGGATTTTACCTAACAGTCAGGTTTGTTTTAAACAACTGTTTATAACGAAGATTTGTTTTTAAAGTTAGAATGATCCAGAGTTTAAAGTTGGTTTAGAACATTAATCACCTTTGTTAGAACAGTAGTCTTTTACAGGAAAGTTGTCAAACTTCTGGATGAATCCCAGAGTCTTGTTCAGGTCGTCTCTCTCTCGGCTCAGCTCCTTGTTTTTGTTCTGCATTATTTTATTTTCCTCAGTCACTCGCGCTTTTTCTTTGATTAGGTTATTGATTTCTGTCTGCTGCGTGGTCATCTTCGTGCTCACTGTGAAAACATAAATTAGTCAGAAAGTCTGTCTGCATCAGAGAAGCTTCAACACATGACATTTCTCTCTCAGGACATCAGAAAGTATTTTAAGTATCAGAAGACAATCGGCTTTATTGGCCAAATTAAGGAACAAACAAGGAATTTGACTTTAGGTTTCAAGACTGAAGTTCAGTCATAAACCGTAAATACATAAACTTTAGAGGACAAAAGGACAAAGCAACAATACGTTTATCTGTTTTAAGAAAATGTCTTGCTTTATAAGAAAAGGTGGCGGAGACAGTTCATATTTGATTTAACTGTATTTGATTTAGCTGAAGCAATTCCAGAGTTTGAACCCCAACATAAAGTCTGTAAGAGCCAAAAATGTAGTTTTGTAATATTGTTCATTATTGTGCAGGAAGGATTATCGTGTACTTTTTGTATATTTAGATATTTTCTGAACAATAAAACTTTCTTTTATTTTTGTGCAACACCGCCATCTAGTGGAAGTAACTGAAACTTCATATGAAATGTGTTGCGTGACAGGAGGTCAGGAAGAAAACGTAGTGACGTATTCAGTTTGGCTCCATCCAGGCTTTTTTCAATAGTTATAAGTGTAAAGCCGAGCTGAAATCTGCTCAAAGAGAAGGTGAAGTTCACTGTTAGTCTTTGTGTGGATTATTTGGATCAGAAACGCTCCAGCTGAACACCAGGAGAAGGTAGCAGGTTCTCATGTTTGTGTGGATATTCTCCAGGTACTCCAACTTTCTTTCATAGTGCAAAACATTTCTCTTTACCCCTGTAGCTGCGTTTCCAATATAAATGTGTGCAAATCTTTGCTGTTAATATCAAATTTCGCAGTTTGCACTATTTCCATTAAATAAGATTTAAAATTAAAATCACATGAATAAGCCTGCTCACCCAATAAGTTATTAAAAATTACGGCAGCAGTAAATGTAAACAAATAAATGAGATATGTTCATTTATCAGCCATCAGAGGAGACGTTGGCGTCTTATTTAGGCGCTGGAGACACAAACTCCTTATGCTTGGCAGCAGCTACGATTTGGGGAGAGAACTTTGGATTTGTTTAATTGACATATCAAACTTTTTATGAATTATAATCCTATTACAGCTCTGGTGGAGCCAGCTGTCAAAACAAGCAAGCAAATAAAAACAAACCATCATCCTACCACTTTCTTTGTTGTTTCCGCCAGTAGTAACATCATTGCAGTTTTGCAAAATGCCTATATTAATATATGACCAAAAAGACCCAAAACATTTTAATCTAAGTTTCTGTTTCCATTAAGCAATTTTTTATTTATGTAATGTAAACACAGCTACTGTTGCCCTGTGATGATATACTTGAATTACATTATTTATCATATTAGTACGGATATTTACACATTGCATTTTTTGTTGTTTGCAAATGTTTTTTTACTTGATTTCAGTCTTAAGTCTTTACTTATGCAGCATCATTTTTAGTGAAAAACTAAACGCATAAGCCCTGAACATGCTTTGTACAGGAAGCTAAATGAGGTTTATTTTTTATTGAGGTGAAACTGACTGTAGACGATGATGGTGATGCTCACGACCAGCAGGACACAGAGAATCCCCAAACACACCAGCGTCAGACGAGAGTGGCAGAGCGCCGCTGTTCCCTCTTTCTCCTGGCCTGGCAGGAGCAATGAAAGGCACATTAATAACTTTAACATGGTTAATATTGAGGTTTTCAACAGCGTTTATTTTTGTCTGCTGTAGGAAAAGTGTTACATTCAAGAACTCGCTAATAAGATTTAAACTCTTTGATTGAACGTTTTGACTCAAAGTAAGATCACAAGTAAATGTTTTAACCGTAAACGATGGTTTTAACATTCCTTCCTTCATAGGAAGATGCTTCATCTTCCTATGAGATACATGTTTTACTCTACTTTTTTAATTTAATTTTATCCATTTTAAAACCTAACGTGACACAGTGTATGTTTTGTATGGAGGCCCTGAAGTGCAAAACAAATCACACAACTACAAAATAAAGAAATCACAAAACATTAACTAAAGACAATTACAATGAAAATAAAGCAGACAACCTCATCATACTTTTAGTTTGTTTAAATACTTCGCATTTTGTGGCAGTAACTTTGTACCCTTTCTTAAACTTCTTCTTCCTCTTCTTTTTGTTCTCTTTTTCATTGTATAATCTTGATATTAATAATAAAACTTTATTAATCCCATAAGGAAATTGAGGTAGTCTGTCTGTAGCTCACATCAATTCTTATCCACACAACATTAAAAATCCTTAAAAGGTCCTGTTACTGCTACTATTTGCACATTTAGTAACAAATCCTGCAAGTTGTGGGCTGGTGTCACTTTGCAGGAGTTTTAATGTTTTCCCTGTGCAGCCTGGGTTCCCTCCATTGCTCGGTAAACTCATCTCTGTAATTGACGGATGGATTATAGTTTTACCTACTTGTTTGAGCAGGAGCAGCTTTCTTTATATTCACTTCAGAGTAAACGGTTGGATCCTCCTGAGTGTCTGAAGCACAGAAACAGCAGATGATTCACTTCATCCAAATTATAAGGCACAAAATACTGAATGATTTCTTTTGTATAAGAGATTTCACTGATAAAACATGATAAAGGCTTTTTACATGTGATGTAATAAAAGTCCAGTTTAACTTTCTACAGCAATGTTGCCTCCTAAACCTCATGAAATGGTCTCTTACCTGTCGGAGAAGGTTTGCTACTTTTGATATTGACTGTAGAATAGCAGACTTCGTCCCCGTTGTTCTCCATCTGTCACACATAAAATAACTGAAAACTGATCAGAAAAATGCCTGACAGCTTTTAAATGCTTCAGCTGCAGCTCAGGCTGGTTCCTCTTCCTCTTCACGTAATTTAAAACAACCCATGCGTCTAATGCTTATTGATAACCACCTTGTGGATATTTTCTTGCTCAAACTGTTCTAGGAAACACTCTTAATTAACTTCTCTAACAAATATTTACTCACCACTGTGACACAACAAGCCGACACATTTCAACATGTGCAAAGCTGCTGCAGACAAACCCTGAGGCTGATTTCAAACCTGATACTTCGGTTTGATTGGAGACCAAAATTACAACATTGGTCACATTTTCAGCTGCATAAAAGTGTCTAAATCATCATCAATCCAAAACAAAAACAGGATCTTGCACAGTTGCTGTTTTAATTGACTGGTTAATATTTTTGCAACTTTTTAAAAGGATTTTTTTAAAAACATTTTTAATTAAAGAATAAAACTTTGTCTTACACCTAAATACATGCATGTTTTAATAAGATTTTATTTGCAAAATCAGAAATTATTGGTATATTCTTGAATTGTGGACCAAGGGGCCAAACAAATCCGCTAGAGGGCCGCAAATGGTCCCTGAGCCTCAGTTTGGACATCCCTGTGCGAAAAGATGATGAGGTAAATTCAGAAACGTTTTAGAAAATGTAATTGTTTATTTTACGAACATGAACAAAATGAGCAGCCAGAACATATTTCATCAGATCTTCCTCAGGCAGAGAACACGAAACGTTTAGCATCAGATATCCTGTTAGGATGGAAAACATGCAGAGCTAATGTAAAACACATCATCAGTGTGTGCAGGAAGCAGTGGAGCTTCATCTTCTCAGAGTAAATCATGTGCCTGGTTTAACATTTATGCACAGAAATGAGATTTATGGTTAACAGAAGTAAATCCAGAGATCCTGTCTGAGGCGTTTAATCAGATCCTTTTAAATAACATCCACAATAACGAACACAAACTGGAAACAGAAAATTTTAACAGCTTAAGTTTTAAATAGTCATAAATATGGGTTCAGTGTGTGGATCCTAATCGGGTCGGATCAGGACTCTGGTCTCACAGATCCAGCGGTTCTTCATGTAGCAGCTGCTTTTGGCCCAGTTGGAGGAACGGTTGTGATGCGGGTTGATTAAACCACAGGAGAGTCGATTCGCAGCGTCTTCCGTCGACCAGAAGCTGAAGAGTGAAAACACATGGAGTCACTCCGGTTCTGCTCAAACCCGAAACTCTTCAACCGGCTGCTTGTTTTTAACCAGCGAATCAGAAGAGATACCTTCTGTAATGCTGCATCTCTTTATGCCATTTGAATGAACAATTATCAGGGCTGAAACCAATAATCAACCAAAAGCCTTTTAATCCATTAGATTAAAGAAAAATAACCAAACTATCAAATTAATTTTGTAAAAAAGAAAATAAATAAATTGGTATAAATTAACTGAAATTGTTTGAAGTGATTAATTTTCTGATTTAGAGTTTGGAGAAAATATTTTTACCTCACTGACAACAACACTGAGGAGCCAAATTATCCTGTGCAACCATTTTCAAAAGGTTTTAAGCAACAATTTTCTTAGAGGTCTTTAATTTTCACGGTGAAGCAGGAGGAGATGAGTGACGATTTCATCACCTCCACTTTTCACCTCCTGCTTATGAAACTGCTGAGGATATTTCAGTGGCTCCCGGAGGTGAAAGGAGGAAGTTGGGAAATGCAGAAGTTTTTCTTGTGTTTGCGTTGACGCTTACGTCACAGAGAGGTTCCGGCCGTCTGCCCACGTCCACACGTCCTCCTTGTCTTTCTTCAACCCGATCCAGTAGCCGTGATTATTGTCGTTGTATTTTTCTGTTTTGTTGTTTATAAATTCCTGCATTTGTAATGAAAGGAGATTAAAAATCTTAAAAAACAAAACAAAACTGTGCCGTTTGTAAAGTTACACAGTAAAAAAATTATCAGCAAAATCATATTTTTACCACATAATTCCTACATTTATAAATTTCAGAGTTCTAAACTAAACATTTAATTCACAAATTAAATATTTATAGGAAGCTCAATATTTAGTTTCCAACAAAATGTTTAAACTATTAAATATTTATTTTGTAGCTAAAAATTTAGATCCAAATTAAACATTTGATTTGCTAGCTGAATATTTAGTTCAAAACTAAATGCTTTTTTCTAAGTAAACATTTAATTTCCAAACTAAATATTTTTTAAACTAAATATGTAGCTCACACCTATTTATTTAGCATGCTAGCTGAATATTTAGGGCTAAATTATATAATCTGTAAATATACAATTTATACATTTTATAATAAATATAACTAAACTAAATTAATGTATAGCTTAATTTTCAAACTAAATATTTAGCATGCAAACGAAACATCTAGGTTCCTTGCTAAATATTCATGTCATTGCTAAATATTTAGGTCTAACTGAGATGGACAATAAATTAGTTTACCGATAAGCGGAAGTGGAATTTCAAAATAAAAGCTTGGTTTCTACGACTTAAAAAAACATTTTGTACAGGTCAACATAACCAAGGTTTTATTTTGATATTTCACTTCCGCTTATCGGCAAACTTGTTTACATATCAGCTAAATATTTAGATTGAAACTAAAATATTAGGTTGGCAAAATAAATATTTAATTCAGAGTTAGATATTTAATTAGAAAACTAAAAATTTAGGTCATGTCTGAAATTTTTTTGGGGAACAAAACATTTAGCTTCCTCACTAAATATCTAAATTGAAAGCTAAATATAATAGCTTGTAAATTGAATATTTTAGTTTGAAAATCTTACATTTATAGATGTAGGAGAAACTGGATGAAAATCTGACTTATGAAAAAACATTTTTTCTCTGTTAAATCAAAGCATTGCTGTTATTTTTTACTGTGTAACGTTAAAACGACATCCCATATAGAAATAATGAAAAATGTAACAGTTAAAAAACGTTGGATGTGTTTGTTAAAATCTTTACCTGCTCCTCCTGGCTGTCGATCACCGCCAGCTTTGCTTTCTCTTTCACACAAAACTCCTGGCTTTGCTCCCAGGTTTTCCAGTTCTTGCTGAACTCGTCTTTTGTAAACAGGTAACAGTTTGACTGAAACATCGCCCAGTCGTTCGGGCAAGGCTTACACTCTGTAAAACAATAAATAAAAAGCTCCAGATGCCTAAAGGCTGTAAAACATTTAGCAGTAATGGTCTATTAAACCAGTATCTTCTAACGTTTCTGTGGGCAGCGTTCAGCAGCAGGGAAGTTGTCGTAATCGAGGATGACGTCGAGAGTCCAGTTGAGTCGGTTTCTCTCTCGGTGCAGATCTGCTGTTCGTCTCTGTAAAGCTGCTCTCACCGCCGCCAGCTGCAGACTCTGCTCTGCTAAAACGCCCATCTGTCTCCTCTGCTCGTGTGTGACTGCAGTCAGGTGTTTAAAATGTTTTACCTGCACAGGTAGAAGCTCAGAGAAACAAACAGACTTACAGACACTGAGGACGATGATGGCCAGGAGCAGGATGAAGCAGATCATCCCCAAAAACAGCAGAGGGAGAAACCGAGCTCTCTTTTCATTTTCTATGAAAAACAGATCAATAAAAAGTCAAAATCTTTCAGTTTTAATACATAGTTCCTGCAAGTCTGAACTGGAAGTGATCCGCGCCATTTTGGTAGGCAAAGCAAACAAAACTGAATAATTGAGACGACAAAAAGAAAGTATCAACACTCTGGACCAATGTGCAAGAGAAATATACATCAACAAAACGGCTGCTGTTGGGATCGACACATTAGAAAAGAAGATATAAAATATATTGACGATGTGGTTAATAGTGGACATTCATCGCATTTCTACAGGATTTACACACAGAAGCCAAAAATTATGCTCTAGTACTATAGCACTACTTCAAGTAAAAGTAAAAAGTACAGAGTAGTAAAAGTACTCCTAACCGTACATTTTTAAAAAGTTGCTCAAGTAAAAGCAAATAGTCACATTTGATGTGGGAACTCTTTGTGTGTGTCGGCTACATGCTAGCAGGTAAACGCTGCATTAGCTAAGCTAACTTTGCCAGTAACTGTTCCAGTAAACATCACTGAGTTTATCCTCGTGTGACACAGAGGTGGGAAAACGTCTCAACAGTTGTAATGCACTCGGATTGTTTAGAAAGGAGAGGCGAGAGCTAAACTTGTCTTATTTATTGTTGTCATAGCAACCGCCTGCCAAAATGGCTGCCAGTTCATGGAAGTGACGTCACACGGGACCTGTTATGATCGGTTGTGTTTCCTGCGTCTCCTCCTCTGTCTTCACCTCATCGTAAATTATTTCTTTGAAGCTCGATTTTCTAAGAAAAAAAAACAGAAACAAAACAATAATATATAAATGTTTGACTTTTTGTTTTAAAATGTTTAAATTTTTCTGTCATTTACATATTTTTTGTTCTCTAAAACCTAAAAAACACGGTGTTTGTTTTAGGGATTAATAACTGATGTGAAATGTAGAAAATAACTTTAAAGGAAGAACATTCTGACTGTGGCTAAAGCTTTGCTGTGGTTTATGTTAAATTCAGTCTTTTTGTTGAAAATCGCTTCCCAGTGTCATTTGATTCTCTTCCAGCCAATGTCCGACCCCTTTTACTCTTAAAGCTGCTCATTTTTAACTAGAAATAGATTTTTTTGGGAATAAGGGTACAGATCAATACATTCTGAAGGAAAACTTTAATTTCTTTTTCTTTCTGAATGATAAAGTATGGGAAAAAATCAATAAACTAATAAATCAATGTAATTTGAAATATCAGGTGAGAAGGCAGTGAGTGGGCAGAATCCAGATGTGATGAGAAATAACTCCAGTTATTTTTGGAACAGAAAGAGGAGCTGCCATCGTTCATCCAGTGTGCTGCGGGTTGAAAACCTCACATGAATGACGAGCCATTTGTTTCTACCTTGCCATGGAGAAATGACGGTTTCAAGAGGTGTGACGCTTCTGTAAAGGTGTCAGTCTGAGCTGCGAAATGTGCAAAAAGGCAAATTTCTAAAATGATTTAGAGAAAGACGAGAATGAGCCGATGGAACCAAAGGTTATTACCGCCAAAATATAAATGTGTAGATAAAAAAAGGATCAAATTTCAGCCAAAAAACTTAAATTTTGAGATTAACCTCAGACATTGTCGAAAAAAACATAAAAATTTCTGAGCTCCATTCTGAGCTAACATTCAGTTAAAATTCAATCTTGACATTCATTCAGAAATGTTTTTGAAAAATGTGGACATTTTTGCAGAATCTTTCATCTGTGTTGATCCTGACACGGAGAGGAGCTCCTCTGACTCTGCAGGTGGCGATCAGATCATCATGGCGAATTACCTGCAGCACCTGAAGTTATGCAGGTAATGATGTCAGAAATGATGTTGTTATATTAACTGTTACTACAAAGAAAAACGTTTTGCTCTGTTTTATGAGGATTATATCAGGAGAAAATAAATGCTTTGTTTTCTTGTTCTGTGTTTGAATAATGTGTTTTTCTGCTGCTCATGTTTCTGCAGACAGAAATGAGAAGGAAATAAATGACTCAGTAATGATGCATTCGCTGAGCTCAGACTGGAGAGACAATTATAGCTCCCAATAAAACCAGTTTGAGCTTTACTGGGAGGTGACCAGTAAATAATTATTTCTGCCTTTTAATCAACAGAAGATGTTTGTGTTCATCCTAATTAAGAAGTTTAGTTGTAAAACTCAATAGATGATAAAATAGCAGTGTTCTCTCTTCAGCTGTTATTTTAAACGTTAGTCACTGCTGTGTTGAACGAATATAAAACCAATCTTACCTGAGCCGATCTGTGTGGAGACACCATTAGTCTTAAAAGTCACGTTTGCATAGTTCAGTTCTTCCTCCATGATTAAAAACCGTTTAATCTCCTGGAGTCAGATAAAGTTAAATCTCCGCAGAGACGCTTCAGTCTGAGTGTTTTCAAGCTCTGAGTGGAGACAGGATGTTCACTTCTGCTTTTCAGACAAAGTTATGAAACCAAAGAGGGAATTTAGACGAAATGTTCATCAGAGACCAACTGGGAGGGAAGAAGCTGTTTCTGGTGACGCTGGCCTGAAGGGAAAAACGGTTTGTGTCCAGGATGTGGGGGTCTGCAGAGATGTGACCATTTTACAGACCTCATGATGATTCTCTCTGCAGAGAGGATTGTAATAATCACCTTCATTACATTAAACTACTTTCTTCCATTTCATCTTTCTTTTAAGTTCTAATTGGTTGGTGGTCAGAGGCTTCTTTAGATGTGCTGCAGCACAGACCTCTACAGAAGATCTTCCATATATTCATCTATTAAACTCTTTGCAGAAATGTACTTTGAGTTACTATGAGATGTCAGTTTGGTTGAATTCCTCGTAATAATTGAAAAACTGATTGAAAGCAGACTGGGAATCTTTGCTCAGACTTTTCTAAGTTTAGCTCAATAGTTTGAAAAGTGGATTTTATAGTTTCTTTATGAAAGTGACAACATGAATTTGCTTTTACAAAGCAACTTTATATAGTTTTATGAAGTTGTTTTCTATAAAACCTCATTTTTTTATAACTACAAGCAAAAAACTGTAGTGATTTTTTCTCAGATAAGAACTTGGTGCTGTTTGAGTTTACTGCGAATTTTCTATAATTCAATTATCAAATTTATACGCTAATGTCCAAAAAGTTGGAATAATTGAATTTTCTTCTCATGAAATGTTTTTGATGGCATTCAGAGAAATAACAGGAATAACAGAATTAAGAAGAAAAACACAAATTATTCAGAGTAATTCATTTATTTGTGCAGTTTTCCCAGCAGATTATTATTAGTATTGATAACAGCTGCATTGCTAGTAAGTAATCTAGATTAAAAAACCTCTCAATAATAGATTTTGTGCTGAAGTTCAGCACAGAAAACCTGAGGTTGTTGTTCCAAGTAAGTTTGTTTTATTTAAAAATAAAAACTGATGAAGTTGGATGAAGCAAAATGGAAATATCCTCAACTGCTTTTTTCAGACATCTGATGTACTTTAATAACTTCAGGGTTTTAACTTGCATGATATTTTAAAGTATTCACATGTAAAAAAAGATTTCCATGTAAATATAATCATCCTGTAGTTGAACTGTTGAGTCATTTTTTCCTGTTTTCTAATCAGAAGCTGAAGCTGCTGCAGAGCCTCGTTTCCTGCGGCTGCTCGTTTTTGTCTCCCCCTGGTGGCAGTTGTCATCATTACAGTCCATGGTGAGTTTCTTGTTTTCTTTTTATTTATTTTCTTTTTATTTACATGTTAAAATCCGTGCAGGCGTCTTGCAGAAATCCTGTCCTGCATACTACAGCACAGTGTAGTATGCAGGGTGTTTTGTCTCAGTTTTTAAGAACAGAACTTAATTTTTCTTTGTTTGATTTGTTTGTAATTTGATGTTACAGATGATGCATAATAATCACAATTCACTTCAGTGTTTTCTTTTGTCTTTATTTCTCCTAAACATGTCACACAAAATAAACGAGTGTTGTTCAGAAATAATCTTGTGGCAACATTAATGCTGCAGGAGTCAGTTAAATATGCAAAATGTAAAAATAATTAATTACTCTTATGATTGTTCTTATTTCTATAATAATGCTACTAATAATATAAAATAAAATTCTGATTATTGTTATTACTCATGTATAATATAAAACAACAATATTCTGACATTATTATAAATAAAACAATATTATAATATAAAATAAGTTATTCTATTTTCATCCAAACAAACATTTCATAAAGTAATAAAGTCTTTCTTTTCTTTTTCTTTTTTTTTTTTTTTTTTTTTTTTTTACCAAAAGTGATTTTAAATTACTAATTTTCATTACCAAAAGATGATCAAAGCAAAATTATTGTAGGAAGAAAACAATATGAACTTTGCACACATTATTTATAATTTTTATTATCATTATCAGCTGCAGAAGAAAAACATCAGAGTTGAACATTCGCAGTACAAGAAGGGATTTAGAAAATGTAATGATTTAAAGAAACAATGAAAAGGATTCAATTTTTCTATGTGTTTTATAATCATATAAATTCAAGGATGGAGAATTGAAGGAAAAGTAAGCTTTTTAGTCTTCAAATCAGCTTTTTTTTTTTCTAAAATCCTGCTTTATTTTTAACAAACTGGCTGCTGCTGTTTGAGCTTGTTGTGAGATTTTGCATCTTTCATGACAGGTGAAGAAGATCCAGACTCTCATTTTGGGTCGTTGTGTTTTAGAAATCGTTTCTGTCTTCCTGGTGGCGAGATGAAAACATCAAATAATAAGATACTTCAGCTTTTCTTAATTGTCTTATGAAGTAAAATACTTCAAATGTTTGTACATGTATATTTATTATAAAGAGAAATTCAAAATGTTTCATCTGAAGCCACATTAAGACATAAAGAGATAATTATAAAAATAAGCATTTAGTGCTTTCTAATTATATTGTGCCAAAGGTGAAATATTTAACTTTTCAGTTTTCAGAGTTTCAGTGTGTGTGTGTGCGTGCGTGCGTGTGTGTGTGTGTGTGCGTGCGTGTGTGTGTGTGTGGTGCGTGTGTGTGTGCGTGCGTGTGTGTGTGTGTGTGTGTGTGTGCGTGTGTGTGTGTGCGTGTGTGTGTGTGTGTGTGTGTGTGCGTGTGTGTGTGTGTGCGCGTGTGTGCGTGCGTGTGTGCGTGTGTGTGTGTGCGTGTGCGTGCGTGCGTGCGTGTGTGTGTGTGCGTGCGTGTGTGTGTGTGCGTGTGCGTGCGTGTGTGTGTGTGTGTGTGTGTGTGTGTGTGTGTGTGTGTGTGCGTGGGTGTTTGTGTGCGTGTGTGTGTGTGTGTGCGTGTGCATGCGTGTGCGTGTGTGTGTGTGTGTGTGTGTGTGTGCGTGTGTGTGTGTGTGTGACTGTTGGGCTCCTCTGGACTTGAGTACAAACCTTTAAACATTTTACTTTCTACTTCATGAAACACAAAACCAGAGCAGCGTTTTAGTGGTTGGAGGATTTATCTTTTGTTTTTGGTGAGTCATTTCTCTCACTCGGCTCTCAGGTTTGTTGTGGTTGTATTTACCCAGAATGCCCTACACTGTTGCCATTTTCTGCTCTTGAGAGGTCTCTGGTCCGGTTGGTGTTGTCATGGAAAAAAATCTATTTACAAGCACCGTTCAGGTAAAATAACTCAATCAGGTTTATTCATGTATTGAACAACCCAGAGAGCTCATAAAACGATCAATAATCAAACAAGTCTGGATGAAAAGCTCTGCCAGGCAGAGACTTATGCAAAGATGAAGGATCCAAAGCGCGGGAAATGGTCTGGTTCCCATGCAGCTGTGGGAAAGAACTTCCAACCTTGTATATGCAACCCAAATAGTTTCATCTTAGTGGGACCATAAAGAACTTCGATAAAACGTGTAACAATACGACTAGCAGATGAGACCTTATTGGGTTTATTTCACCATGGTGATCAGATATGCATTTGAACCTCAGCTCAGTTCACTTCAACCAAACTAAACTTGCTCACAATCCCCGGTTTGAAGGTAGACCAGAGTTCAGAACCGGACTTTCTATGCAAACGGACTGGAGTTTTATCCAAGTGGACTATATGAGCCCTTAGGCTGGTAGACGAGACGGTTCTGCCTACCAGGCCACAGAGGGACGGATGCTCTGGGCCTCGCTGCTCAAGCTAAAATCACACCTATCAAAAATAAAAGGTGTGAAAACCGCTGAGGTCGAAGTGAGAAACTGCTCGAATGTGTGTTGCCTTTAGCTTTCATTGCTGAGCTGAGAGTATCAGGATCCAGCGTAACAACAGACCTGTCAGTATTAAAACATATTTATCTGCAGACCTTTGAGACTTAAAGATGGCTAAAAACTCATATGGAGAGATTTATGAAAATGTTCCAAGAATTTCAAATGGTGAGTTTCTCATCTGTGATGTTTGTGGTAAAATACAAAAATATAAATGTGCATTTTGTTTGTGTGGTTTTTGGTGAAAGACTGGATGAAAAGCAGATTGTTATAAATGTTTTGTAACATATTTAGATTTCTTATTGAACCTATTTTTGGGTAATTAAAAGTTAGTGGTAAACTTGGTCAAAAAATATTCTCCACTGAACTTCCATTTTCCTCTTTTCTTAAATCTGTGTTGTTTTACGGTAAAAATAATGAAATTCTACACCTAAAACAACTAGATTTACTGTTTTCTTTAGCCTTTTCTTTCTTTTAAAAAGCAAGAAACCATTCTGTCAGTGCAAAATTCTGATAATTGAATTTTTCTGTGTCTTGCAGAGAGAAAAGAGGAAACATCAATAACTTGTTCCAGGAGTCTGTTGGGTTTGTGGATAATTAGCTTCCTTTTGGTGGGAAGCGTCGTGGTCAACATCTGGAGTAAGTCTCCATTATTTATCCCATTTTAATCTACTAAACTGTCGTTAAGTCAAAGGGATTATTATGAAGCTACAGCTGTCACTTTACAAGTACAAACCTGTGTAATTACTTGTGTGTATGTCTGTATTTTTACTAATTTTATTTAGATGTTTGGTGACACGCAGCAGAAAAGTTGTCCATGAGTGGAAGGAAAATAATTTATGGTTTTCAAACTGATTTATACACAAAACTGAAATAGAACTGCAAGCAGTCATGCTGGGTTCTTCGCCCGCTCCCACCCTGCGCCGGCTGAGTCGGACATTTTTTAGGGTGCTTTTTCGTCACTAAAGATTTTAAATGCAGAACAACATTAAAAGAAGCGAAGTGTCGCACCCAGTGTGAACCAGTGCCCTTCGCTGCTAAACGTTGCTGCATCACTTCAGGCTGGTGCTGAATCTGAAGAGGATTTAGAGCAAAACTATGTGAAACTGAAATGAGACAACGGAAAAATACTTAGTATGCAAATCATACTATGGCTGAAATAAATGTGGATTTAATACATCATGGAGGAAAATCTCTGCCACATAATGATAATAAAAAAATGACATCACTTTAACTTATCTACACCAACTTAAAACCATGAAATTCACCCAAACTGTATAACTGGCAGCACAGATATGATGTTGAATTAGTTCATTTCAACTTTGATTTCCATCAAAATCAGAGCAGCCTAAATATGCAGCTATGTGACGAATAAAAGCATGTCAAAAATATCCAATGGAAAGACATAATAATAAGAAGAAGAATGGAAAATGAGAAGGATTCGCTGCTTCGCTGGCAACATGGACAAAAGGTTCAGGACTTGTGTTAGCATTTAACATTTAGCATCTGCAGCTATTTGACGAATCCTCTGATGTCCAAACTGCACATCTCTGGCAATTTACTTCACTTAACTTAGTAGTTTTCTAATGCACAGTTTCATTTGGATTAAAACAAACAAACTGCCTGCGTTGCAACACTAAATTCACTTAATTCTCCTGCGTCACTTGCAGTGTGTCTTCAGATGTACAAACAGAAAGCAACTTTCCAGGAGCAGGAGATGAAGATGGAAAAGCTACAAAATGACAGTGAAGTGCTGACTCATCAGATGTACAAACAGAAAGCAACTTTCCAGGAGCAGGAGATGAAGATGCAAAAATTACAAAATGACAATGAAGTGCTGATTCATGAGAATCATGACCTGAACTTATGGCTGAACTTTTTTCTGACAGTCAAAGATGCTAAAGTCTCAAAATACTGCAATGGCAAAAGTGAGTTGGTATCATGTGACCTTCCTGAAAACACGACTGACTCCTAATTGATGCTGAAAGTCGCTCTGTTTCTCCCCGTTTGTTTCACGCTGGCAGAGTGTCGGCCGTGTCAGGAAGGATGGGTTGAGTTTCAGAAAAAGTGCTATCTGTTTACTGAAGAGCAACCCTGGAAAAGCTGGGAGCAAAGCGATGAGCACTGCAAAAGCACATCCGCAAATCTGGTCGTTATTGATCACCTGGCAGAACAGGTGAGCTCTAGGACTGCTGCGTCTTTGAAAGTTACTTTTTTAACTTTTAAAATATAATTGTAATGATTTTAAACTAAATGATTTTCAGGAGTTTCTCAGTAAACAGATTAAGTTTTACTATGACAAATATCATGGATACTGGTTGGGCTTACGTGAAATTAACCAGAGCTGGGTGTGGACTGACGGACGTAATGACACTCTGGGGTAAGAAATTTTAATTAAAAGTAAAATAAACACAAGAAATAAATAAGATGGAATACCTACTGTTTGTCGTCACCTTCCTAAAATAATCACAGAAATCAATTTTTTGGGGAAAAAGTTGGGATTATTATTTCAGAGAGGCAACAAAATGAATGTTTGAATCAAGATTAAATTCACCTGGTCAGTTTATTTTGAAACAAAATAATTACGACATTGACCAGAAATGGGCAAAGGAGACAAAACCTTTACTCAAGCAAAAGTAAAACAGTATTTGGTAAAAAGTAACTGATTAAATTACCGATCTGTCAGGATGACATGACCAGACAGACTGAAATAAAACATTAACTGGAAATGTTGATATTTTAAGGATAAAATGGATCACATGAAAAAGCACCTTGCTAAAAGATGATATGTAATTAAACTTGATTGATTGATTAATGTGCTGTACATAGAAATCCACAGTAAGTCAGTTTTCTGAAGTATTTTGGAATTTAATTCCTCAGAAAAATCACAAATGTGATGTTTTACTCTTCGTTGCTCCTAATATCAGTTCTGAACATGACCTTGTGATTTTCCTCTATCGTTTCTGTTTAAATTAATTGATTTTAGAACCAGCAGAATTTAACATCCACTGATGTTTTGAAGGTTCTGGATGGGATCAGCTTATGGTACCTCTGGTCCGTTTGCTCTGCTGATCCCAGGAAAAACTCCGACAAAGAGTTGGGACACATCAGACAACGGCTTTCTGAACAAATTCATCTGTGAGCAAGAAGCCCTAGTGAAGCTTGAAACTAGAGCCAGGTGACCTTTGACCTAATGCTGGGGTTTACAGAAACACCTCTCAAACGTCTGCTCCCTAAATGAGCGTTTCTTGATCTCCCGCTGCAACAGCGAACAGTTTGCAGCTCGTTGAGACGCAGCAGTTCATCAGTCTGTGGTTATCGGCGGTGCTGGAGCAACGCGACTCGAGTGAACGATAAAACCACAAGACAAAGGCAAAGAAAAAACATTTTAACTCAGTTTGCGTCTTTTAATTTGTCTTTGTAAAAGGTGTTGCATGATATTGATCTCAATATGTGTTAAGATGCTTGATGGTTTTCACAGCTTTTACTCATTTTAAATAATATTTTTGCTGATATCTGCAGATTAGCATTTTTTAAAAATCTGTTTTTATTCTTGTGTTTGTTGAATCTTTTTGATTGCTTGTCACTTTGCTGATGTAACAAAATTTGAGAAACAATAAAGGAACTTCTATCCTATTTTATTATATTCAAAGTTTTTCACTCATAATCAGACTTTACCGCTTCCAAATATGCTTTTAATTATTTTGTGGACTTGAGTGCATCAATTTAATTTAATGTATTTTGTTGAGAAGGCAGGCTGCAGTGAACATATTACACTGAAAACATTTCTAACGTCACAAACATGAACCATTTGGTCGGTTTGGAAACTGAGAAAAGTTTCCATTCCACTTAAAGAAATCACACCATCATCCTATCTTGGTGTCGGTTTCTAAGAGTTTATGAGGAAGTAATTTATCTATTTCTGAAGTTGGTTCCTCTTACAGATTCAGTACCTCTGCATTTATTTTCTGCTTCTTTCAAAGTTTCACTTTAAAAATGTTTGTAGTTTCTGTAAATATTAAGGAGCAGAAATAAAAAAAACTGATTTTACTACAAACTATTGAATCAAAGTTTTCTAATAATCTGTTTATGTGCAGATCGTAAAAATCTGTACCTGATAAATATTTTGTCATAATATTCGTGGTTTGGTCATTTTTTAAATTTTGGTCAACATCCTATGATAAAAACTGCTGTAAAGTGAAAAACAGAAATAATTACAGTGAGTCTATAAATCAATCAAGATCAACAAAATTAGGCTTTTTTGACAAAAAAATGTTTCAAAAAGAAAAAAAAAACTTTAACACTGCAGGATGTAACTTTTATAAAATATAATATACAGATATATATTTACATATTTGTTGAAAATCACAATGATAGTTTGTTTTGAGACAGATAATCTATGAGAAAAATAAAGTTCCTCTATTTTCCAATATTTTCTTAGCGCTGTCAATCATGCTGACGACACTGCAGCTAGCAGAGTCTGCCACGAATGCTAACGCTAGTTAGCATAGCCACTGATGTCGGCAGGATAATGAAAAGGTTAATGAAAGGTATCAGTCAGGGGATGGATACTAAAACATCTGCGTCTCTGTCATGATGGCCTTCGTCTTCTGCTGAACAATCTCAGAATTTCTCTCCAATCATAAAGTTATTACATGGATTTCTGTTTGCTTAACTTGCTAAATTGTATTTGTAGTTAACCTTCACGTAAACTGCAGGAAGGTCAGATGTTTTTCCACACAATGGACAACCTGTTTGAAAGGTCTGTACAACAGGAAGAGAAAACTTTGCTTTGCATAAAGTATCACTGGGTTTTTTTCCTGGTATCATGATGAGATCGGCTCTTACTTTTCTTTCTGCTGTCAGAGTAAAAACCTTAAATTATGTCGGCAGAAATCAACACGAAGAAAGTTCAGGAAAACGCAAAGACGCCTGGATCAGGTAAGAGACCAGCAAATGTTTCAGCATCTGAACAACTCAGTTTTAAATTAGGAGGAATGATAAAAAAATATATGTATATATTCTGTTGGTGATTAACATTTTATCCCTGGAGAAAAACCTCTAATATCTGATATATTCCTGAAATGTAACCAGCAGGTGATGTATTGTTTGCATTTACTGAAGCTTTTTGAAAGTTTTTTCTTCATTTTTATGACTTCTGGATTAAATTGGATTGAAACTTTGCCTGGTTCAAATAAATTTATTGCTAGCGCTTTTAAAGCTAGCTACAATAATTAGCTGCTTTATTATGGGAATGTGGGAAACCAGCTTTTAAATGTACATTTTGAAGAGGTTTAAATAAAAGTACATAAAACCAAGAGAATAAATAGACATAATCAATAAATCAGCAATTGAAGTTGCTGATTTAGACCAAGACTCAGATGAATGATCAGCAAGATTTAGAAGAACTAAAAGATTTTTAATCTGCAGATCAATAGGAAACCAATGGGAACGACTCAGAGAGGCTTAATAATCGAATTAATTACAGAGACATGAACAGAAAACCAGGGGAAAACTAAACAGCCTCTAGGAAACGCTAGAAAACACAAAATAAAACCTGAAAAACGGGAAGTAAAGCCTGATGACAGATGAACAGATAAAACCTGATGCAGAAAAGCAGCTTATGACGACAAACACAGAAAAACATAAAAGGAAGCGACAAATGATTAAAACCCAAAGAAAAACAACTGCAACCTGGACTTCTAGTAAAAACCAGAGTCAGTCGGATCATTAAAAAGAATAAACTACACTGATAAGGTGGGAATTGGAAGAATAAATGATTAATTTTTTCAGTTTTGTCTAAAATAATGTTGGGTTTAACCGTTATGTGGATTAATGGTCAAATGATCAATAGTCAGAATCCCAAACTTTTTTTTCCAAAAACATGTTTGTGTCCAATGATTGACTCTATTTCTAAATATTACAGTAAATATTTTGTGAAATTATGTGTTTTTTTTACCTTTTACAGAATTTATATCATATAAATTATTTAAAATGTATTTTAATTTTTTTCTGTGCAGAAAATCCTACACAAAAAACACACATTAAATTGCTTTATTTAAAATTTGTTTTACATTTCTCTCTTTTATCTTTTTAAGAAGGTGAATATGTAAATGAACTGTTCATATGTAAATGAACTGTTCATACGTAAATGAACTGTTCAATTCAATTATAAAAGCTGATTGTGCTTATTAAACCAAGCAGATGAAGTTTCAAACAGAAGAAAAATTTCTAATATTTTAATTTCACTTTAAATGGGTCAATTTAACCAACAACGTAATTGAAGGATTAAGATGACAATTACATATTTTTAAAAACCTCAGAAACCAAACAGGCTCATGCTTCTGTCTTCAAATACTTTTTCTGGTTTAAACATCAGCCAGAAAAATCTGAAAAAATATGATTTATGGATTGAAAGATAAATATTTACAATTTCTTAGCATCATAAATCAGTATTGGGGACATAAATCCTGAACTGTTGTCATATTCAGATGATAAGAGTTTAAACTCTAATGCTCTGTGAAATAAATAGATTTATTAAATTGCTGCTTTTGAAACTTTTCTGCTGTAATACGGAGCCAGTGGTTGTAAAAGCAGTAATATTTATTATATCTGGTTTAATTCCCACCAACAGACAGGAAAACAGAAGTTTGTTCTCGCTTCTGTCTGCTGCTGGTGTTGGGTATAACCTTCGTCCTGCTGGCGGCGAGCATCAGCATCGTCACCTGGAGTGAGTCTCAGATTCATCATCGTTTATTATCCCTTTTTAGCTTCAGTGCCCCTCTGCAACATGCTGCAGTAACCAGAGGTTAAAGGTCACATAATGACAGCGTGTTTCTGTCGTTTGAAGGCTGTTTAGAAATAAAGAAACAGAAAGCGAGAGTCAGCAGGCTGGAGCTGGCGTCTGAGCGGACATGCAGAGAGAAGGAAAAGCTCAACCAGAAGCTCAGATTCATCCTCACAGCCACAAACTTCTCCGTGAGAAACTTCTGTCCCGCTGGAGGTGAGAAACTCCATTACATATGATTCGATGATTATTCAAGGTTTGAACGAGGAGGATACTGAAATTTGATGTAAATAGTTGCTGTGGTTCTAAGTGTGAAATGTCTTGCCATATTGACAGTGGATACGGCAAGACAGTTACTTAATAATGAAGTGCAGCAGTCTATGATTGTTTTCTCCGGAACGTAACTCTAAATTATTTGAGGAAAATTTGCTTTTTCACAGATTTATTTTTCTGATTTTCTGATTGAAAAAAAACTGTTTCCTAGCAACCCCGACAGAGTTCTGGTAACCCAGCAACTCCAGCCAAGCCCAACCGTTACCTAGCAACTCAATCTGAGCTCCAGCACGTTTGGTCAGCTGGTTTTCAAATTCAGAAATAGTTTATTGATCCCAAAGGAAAGTAAAATAAAGTAGCTTATTGTAGATGCTGATGGCTGAAGGCAGGGCACTCAGTATCGGCTGCTGTTGACTTTCCACTTGGTTGTGCAGCAGGCCCCACTTCTGCTTTTCGAAGAGGTACTGTTGCGTAATTGCAGCCATTTTCACATGTAGGTTGGCCCAGGAGCAGCTCATTTGGATTTAAAGTGACAGAAGCCTTAAAGAGTTCGGCCTGGGCAGAACTGAGCAGAATTTAATCTCTTCGTCTAGGAGGGATTCTGGGCACAAAATGTTCTGTAGCTCATAAATCTCTCCCTACCTGTTCAAGGAAGCATAATAGGTCACCTTAAGAAGCACAGCATGATAAACTCTGCTGGGGATGCTCTGTGTTAAACTGTGACAGCTGCAGAGTGCCAGCTGTGTCCGGACGGATGGTTCTGGTTCCAGGAAAAGTGTTACTGGATCAGGAACGACACCGAGCTGAACTGGGAAGAAAGTCGTCGGTTCTGTCAGAACAGATCTGCAGATCTGGTTGTAATTAATAATCCACAGCAACAGGTGAGCTGGAACACCAATATTAATATATGAATGATTTAAAGTAACCTGAGCATCTAATGACAGCGTTTCTCCACAGACTTTCATCAGTAACCTGAGCAGCAGCTTCTACTGGCTGGGCCTGCAGCACGTTGACGGCAGCTGGGTCTGGATCGACGGCTGCAAAGACACTTTAGGGTGAGAGTTTATAAAAAACCAACAAATAAAATGATGTTTTATTTGATGGTGTTTCTGTCTACAGGTTTTGGATGAACGATGTCGAGCCGCTGGGTTCGTATGCGGAGGTTTTGGCCTGGAGGAATCTCTCAGACAGCTGGCTGCCGACGACGTCTTCGACCTTCAGCAAGGTCGTCTGTGAGCAGGAAGCCTTCAGCGTTCTTCACCGGGATATTTACACCATCTGAACTAAAACACGTCATAGTTTAAAGTTTCATCATGATATTAAACATCTTGCCTTTCATTGGTGGTTTAAATGACCTCATCTGGTAATTAGAGGAAATAAACTGGATATTGATCCGTTAATGATCATGTATGAATTATATCTGCATTGTTGTTGTTTTAAAAGTATTTTTTTTCTATTTGTCATTACACCTAAAAATATGTAGTCAATATAAATAAGCAGTAAAATGACAGAAGAAAATCAGTTAAAAGAATCTCAGCATGTAAGATTTTTACAGTTTGAAAACAGTAAATTGTACATTAATTTTATGAGTTGTATTCATGTTCATTTTAGGGAAAACATTTTGTTTTCCAGTAAAACATTTACACTGGCACCATTCTACACTCTAAAGTAAACAATGATGATGTCGTCTAACCATGAAAAAAAAGTTTTACCTTTAATTTTACGGTGGATTTGTTTCAACCGCATTTTACTGAACAATTTACTGTTTTTATAGTGTATCGCTAGACGTGCTCATGGTTTTCAGTAAATGATTTACTCTTATTACTTTTAGTGTACAAAAAATATGTGAAGATTATTTGTCCTTTTGAAGATTCTTCATATTTGTGGCTTTCATGAAAATTTAACACAAAACAGAAACGTCTGCATGGAGTGAAGCATGTTAACCTTCTAATATACTGGTGTCTCCAATGTTTTAGTCTTTTCTTTAGTTTTATTTAGACTTTAGTCTTTTGTACTAAAGTCTAGAAAAGACTAAACTAATCTAGTGTGGCAGAGCTGCTTCATCCTGCTGCCACCAGAGGGCGCTATCCTACATGATTTGTTATATTAAAAGTTTGAAAACCAATTTTGTTCATAAACTCAGCCTAAAGTAAAGAAATAAATCAGATTAGACTTTATTCACTGTGTAGTGAATAAAAAAAAGACTAAATTTAGATATTTTTGTATCATTTTATGCCATTTATCTATTAGCATTCAGGCTTTATTTCTTTGATGACAGTTTGCTCACATAAATTAAACTTGTGATTTAAAATACTCTATCCTGTGTCTGTCTTGAACATACTGCAATTATGAAGTTGTTTATTTATAACATTTGTTTGTAATTAAAGTTTTTATTGACGTTCTGAATATTATCACATATGAAGCACAAACAGAAACAGAAAAGCCTGGTGAAAACCTTCAGTAACTGGGAAAAACTGGCTGTGCAGGAAATCCAGGAAGCTTCATCCTGACGTTTCCCACGGAGGCCGTAGTTCTTCTCAGTGAGTCCAAAGCGGCCCAGTCCCGGTTCCCCTTCATGTTGCTGACCCCGGCTTCATAGGAAGCATCAGATTAATCCACTCATTTAGCTTGGGACACTTTGTGTCCTCCACTGTCTTCAGATGGTCCTGCATGCTGTCATCAGACCGTAAAGAAACCATCTGGGTGTTTAGCTTTTCGGATCCGTCTCCCACTGAACCAGTTCTGGAGTCCAATGGATCTCTGAGCCGAGCCAAGATTTTACTCCAAAAGGTGAAACCAGAGAAAAGTCGCAGAAACAGGGCAATATGTTCCCACCTCAGTCTGACATTCCCAACATATAATGTCTGCATTATTTCCATTCTGTTGTCTGTGGATCATTAATTATTTCATGTTTTGACAATAGTTTGCATGTTTGCCAGTGGATTCTTCCCTCAACACAACATCATGTCATGTTTATTTGTTTACTAGCTGATCAAGACAAGGCATGCAAAATCCAAAAACAACAGGACTGGAAAATAGCAAACATGCTAATTTTTTTCCCATTTAATCAGATAAAGACTGAAGATCAAACATTTGATACTAATGTTTGTCCTTCAGCCTTATTTACTTATGGTCTGATGCAAATCATTAGTTCTTGAATAATCAAATCAAAAGTCAGAATAATTCTCCTGAAGTTCCTGTTTTTCAGTGATAAAACCCAGAAACTGTTTCCTGTGAGTTCAGTCTTGGTTCCTGCAGAGGAAGAGGAGACGTTCTTCGCTGCTGGGATCTTCGTCTTGCATCCTCGGCTGCAGTTTCTCATTTTCTCTGAGCGTTTTCAGCCGTCAGTGATGAATATCAACATCCTGGGTAAGAAAGTCCTCAAAAACATTTCAGGTTTTATTATTTTCTGTCAGAAAACAATAAAATATTTATTTCAGTAACCAGATTATCACACACAATATTGTTATGTTACTATTTAGCAGTGAATTTAAATAGACAGAGAGTCTAATGTGTGAAATGAAATAAAAGTGTCTTTAATTAAAACTGAAGTTTGTTGGGCTGCTTGAAAAAAACTCCATTTGGATTTTTAACACCAAAAAGAGAAAAACACCATTTTTTTATCTTTATGTCCTTTTAGCCACATTTAGGACTTTAAACATAAATTAACGTGTTATTAATATTAAGGTAGAAAAACAAACAGATATTTAAAACTTTAAGTAGCATCCTGTCATCAGACTTTCAAAATAAAAGTGTTGGGACGTCAACGTCCTGACTGCTTCTAAAATTATGAATGAATTAAATGTGAGATTTTTGATCTCGAGCATTTTAAAGTAACGTTGGTCCAAAGTATAAATAAACTTTATTCACATCAAATTATTAATGAAATAACATCAATTTAACACAACCTCCCCAAAAGACAGAAAAAGAAACATTTAAAGTATATTTTAAAATTAAAAAAATTATTGCCAGGCTTTTATATTCTGATGAAAAGTTACTTATAATTTAATTTGATCTTATTTCAAGTTTTGCACCAGAAACCAGAAATATTTCAGATTTTATGATTCTGCAGAAACTTTTCAGATTCACATTTAACGTTACTTTAATTCCAGCTCTTTCTTCCTTTTTATGATTTATATTTGATTATTTTCATTTTATATCTAAATATGTATTCAAGTCTAAAAATTCAACAAAATAAAGTTTGGACTGGATTGTAAATAAAATGATGAATTACTTGATTGCAATGGAAAATTATTTAATTTAGAAAATTCTGTTGTTTTGATTTAATTCAATAAATCAATTTATTTTAAAATTTGACACATTTATGTTTATAATATTTACTGAAAACATAAAGTCTCTTATTTATTTGTTTCTTGTATTGTTGTTTGAATGCATTTACTTTGAATGTATTTTATTTGAATGTTTTTTTTAAATAAATATATATTTTCTGTGTTTGAAGATAAAATATTGTGTGTCTAAGCCGTAGCAGCAGCAGTTGAATTATATTTGATCTTGTTTTATTCTTTGCAGGTACCAAAGTCCATGTGGCCTTGGTGGTTTTTGGGCTGTGTGTCCTGGTGCTGTTTGGGTGCGTTGGGGTAATCTCTTGGGGTAAGTCCTATTTGTCCTCTGGACAAAGACTTTGGTCATTTCCTTTATGACTTTAGGGATGACAGCCCAGCTGCTGTATGTCTGCACCATCCATTGTAATGTCCACCAACTTATGGCAGCTCTGGCCTCCCGTACTTTCGGCCGATCTCAGATAAGATCATCAGGATCAATGTGTGGAGATGCTGCATGGTGGCTTCGTGTTATTTGGCTGATGCTGCACTGAGATTTTGTTTCCTTTGCAAACTTTGTGTTCACCTGGCTGACATACTGGATGGCAGGACTTCTCTACTACTGTAAAAATGTTTCCTGTCTTTGTGGGATTAAAGTTAGGTGAACATTTAGATGCAAAAGGAGGAAATATTGAGAAATGAGGCGCCATCATGCAGCGTTGAACACCAAGCATCGATTTATCACTGGAACACACTTCCTGTTTGGTTTTCAGTTTTTATACAAACATGATTTGAACCAAAAGTCCAAGTCAGTTCCTAAATCATTTGTGAATTTCTAAAGATGAGTCATTAATGATTCAAGAAACATGACTGTAGTTCACACTTTGCTTTTTGTCAAACCAAAGTTTAGATGATAATAAAACTCCTTGTTGATGATCAATACATTCAAACATGTTAGATGATGACTGTCAGAAGGTTAAACAAATAACCCAACTTATGAGCAGTTAAGATCCTTGTTCTGATTTTCTTTTTCTGAATAATTTGTTTCCTCGCATTTACAGGCGGTTGGAAAATAAACCAACAGGATGAAAAACACTCAGAAGACACAACATATTTAAAGAGTCTGGCTGATAAGCTGAAGAATGAAAATGAAAATCACAGAATGAAACTGAGAAACTGAGCAACCAAATTCAGAACCTGAATGAAAAATTACAGAATGAAACTGAGAACCTGAACCAGACAATCCAGTTAATGCAGAAATTCAAAACCTTCCTGTTCAATAAGTACTGCAACGGCAAAGGTGAGTCCATAACTCTGAGATGTTTTGTCTCTTTGAGACATTGAGACACGTCTTTAAACATCTGGGATGTTTATGAACAAAGAAAGTGAATGAAAAAAACACTGTAAAACAGAATATAGTCAAAAAACTTCAAATAATATCAGCAAACGGACAGGAAGACGTGAAACATTAACAGATAAAATGTCACTGAAGAGCCTCAATACAAACAGAAACTGTCTTTTAGTTTAAATTAATACATTTTTGTTATTTTCTGTCTCCAGAGTGTCTGCTGTGTCACAAAGGTTGGATCTTCTTCAGTGATTCATGTTACTTTATCAGTAATGTTTCTTTGACCAGGAATGAAAGTCGTCGTTTCTGTCAGTTAAAATCTGCTGATCTGGTTGTTATTAATAATCAGCAGGAACAGGTGAGCTCTGACACCAATCATGTTACAAATTCAAAATGTCAGTGTGGGACAAAACTTTACCTTCTTGATGATTTTCAATGTTGTAATTAACAGGAATTCATTTATAACAACATAAATAACGGATACTACTGGTTGGGGCTGCAAAGAAGTGGGAGCAACTGGGTTTGGATTGACGGTTATGTCGACACACTTGGGTAAGAGATTTCACACAGAAAACAAAGTAAAGAAAAATTAAGTATTACTCATCATTGCATCTGTTACGTATCATTGTGTTAAAATAGCTCAGTTAAAAGAAACTATTTGATTTTACATTTTCTGATGTTTGTGTTTCTCATTTAAAGGTACTGGAGATGGTATGACTATTACTATTACTATAATGGTGCATGTGCAGTGATGTATCGATCAGGGTATCCCACAGCGAGCTGGGGAACGTCATATTCATCTTCAAGCACATACCGCCCCCTCTGTGAGCTGAAAGCCTTCACAGTGTCTCTGAATTAACTCTGTTGCTGTTTTAAATACACATATATATATAAAGATTCATTGTTGATTGTTCTTTACTATAATTCTGTTTGATTCAGTCAATATATTTCATTAATTTACTAAATTTACTAAAACTGCTAATCAAAGTGTCATTAAGGGGCAGAAACCCCAGATGAAGGATTTTAAATAAGTTTATCTGAGAATTAAAACAGATTATATTTGATTCATTGACACATTAAATTAAAATGATTAAAACACGTTTTATAATCCTACAAGTAAATTATAGATTTTATATGTACTTGATTTTAGTTACTGTTAGAAACATTGTTTATGTTTGTGGGTTTTGTCACAAGTGTAATCTTTGATTTATTCTTAAATAACAATATAATCTTTGGCCTGGATTGCAAATCAAAACCAAAAATTAAAAAAATTATGCAAATAAAACCGTTCAGAGATCAATAAACTTTAGATTGATGAATATTTAACACAACGACTGGAAGATATTTTAAATATAAAAATAAAACATAGAAATAATAATAAAACGGACAGTGGCGTCGAAAAACTGTCCCTGAAATAAAGATCCAGTTGAGACGAAAGCAGCAGAATGAAACTTCTGTCATCATGTTTTTGGTAAAAAGAGAGAAAGAAAAGAGAAAAAATAAATCATGCAGTTGGAAATTATTGAGCTCATTTTATTGATTTATTGCATCAGGCCAGTTTGTAATAGTAAAATATTTTGATAATTTTTTATTCTGGTTGTGTCTCTTTGCTGATGTGGCACCAGAATCTCCTCTGTGGGTCAATCAAGGATGTTTTTTCTTCTTTATGTAATCATGTTTTTATTGAATACACTTTATAGAAAACGTTTTTGTGTAAAATATGAGATTTGGATTTAATGGGGTCTTTGACTATTTAGTAAAATGTTTTTGCTTCTTTTCTGTCGTCACATGATTGTAATCAGTTGATAGTTTCTGTTTTGCCTGCTGAGCTTCATGATAATATTGTTTAGTACAAATAAAGTGAGATGCTGATGTCGTGTCTCAGCCTCTTCATTGTCAGCATCACATGTCTGCAGTTGGACCAGTGATGGTTCACACCACCAGTCTGGGTCCAGATCTGCCTCTGAAAACTGGTTTCCTGACTCGGGTCGGGTCGGTTCCCCTCACAGACCAACAGACTCCGCTCTCCTTCTTCTCAGTCACACCTGGTTCTTATCAAACCGAAGTTCAAGTTGCTTTTCTTCTTTTCCTCTCAGATCTTTTAAGCGCTGACACGCTGCAGCTTACATAACCATGTTTATGTGTGACAGTCGTATGCAAACAGACTGAACTGACTGCACCACCCTTTAGGGAGGATCAGTTTGCAGAGAAGAATAAAAAGCTCAACTCTTCAGGCTTTGTCTCTCTTGGTTCCGTCCATCAGCTGAGCTCAGTGGCCCGGCGCCGGACGGTGAACGTAACATCTGATCCACTTGTACGACATGAACAGCTTGTAACATTTGATCATTTTTCAGCATTAAAGCCTGAAACCAAATGTCTTTATTATTCACAGTGATGAATAATATCACTGTAAATAATATTATTTATTATTTACAGCATTAAATAAATAATATTTCAGCATTAAAGCCTGAAACCAAATGTCTTTATTATTTACAGTCAGGGGTTCTGGTCGGGTTCTGGACCTGGTTAACAGACCTGGTGCAGCACAGGTTTCTTTTCAGTGATTAAATTGCTTTGCTCTCAGCATAAGTTTATTATTTTAATGTCTGAACTTGAGTCCATCCTGTCTTAACCCCCCGACAGGATGAGATACAAAATAACAAATATTAGCTCCACTAGAGAACAACAAGATGGAGTCCAGGAGATAATCAGCAGCAGGGATACAAACCGGACCGAGTCCAAATGTTTCCAACTGCAACAAATACATCAGGACACAAAAATGCAAAAATAAATAGAAATAGTTTTTTTTAAAAACATAAATAAAAATGTTTTTATTTTTAAATATTTTTATTAGCCTGACTGCCAGCATCTCTTCTGCAGTGAACATTTCACAGCCAGGTGAAGTGAGCAGCGTTTGCTCATCCAGCTGCAGAGACGCTCAGTGCAGCAGATTCAGCTCATCATGCAGGGCCGGTCCAGGGTCCAATGAGGCCTTGTGCAGAGTTTGATTTAGGGGCCCCTCTTGCTGCTAAGAACATCAGCACCTTTAACATCATTTCACCTTAAACTTAGTAAAATCTGGGAGAAGGCGCCTGGTTTAGTTTGCTGGCCAATCAAATGTAATTGTATTTTTCTAAGATGTTTTTATGAACAGTTAAAACTCAAAGATTAATGAGAGCATCAGATTGTTGCTCTGGCAACAAAACAATCTAACTATGAAGATTGTTCTTAAAATATTAATGTAAATGATCATTTAAAATCTTTTAATTTATCTATAGATGAAACCATTGAATGAAATTTATCAGCCTTAGTTCATTTATGCTTTGGGCCGGTTCTAAATGTCATCAGCATCACTCCGTGTTTTTAGATCCACTAACTGATGAATTAATTTGGATTTAACAAAAGTGCAAATAATTGATTCTTGTAATAATTTAATTGTATTTTTATGTGATGTTTTTAAGACTCTGTAGTTGAGGGTTTAAGTGTTTGCAGTGTTTTCCAGTAACATAATTAGCCAGTAATATTTTACATTTCCTGTCTAATGATCATCTTTTAAACCAAACCCCAGTGGACGCTGTGGGGCCCCGTCCACCGGGCTCAGCAGGTTTTCTGGGCTAAACCCTGTTGATGTTCCTCAGGGTTTGTTTGGAGACAGTTTCTGTTCTCAGATCTGATCAGCTTTTTCCTTCCATCCTGATTTTCATCGTGACATCTGGTACTGATATGCACTTCAGCCCCGGCGCAGCCTGCAGCCATCACCGCCCTGGATGAGAGATAACACTGAAAGGTCGTCCTTTCATCAAAACTTTCCCCAAGAGCAATGCAAAGAATGTCGTGACAAAACCTCCCAGGTTGAGAGATGCAGGTTTGATAACAGACATCGCTGCCAGACGTTTCTTTATTTCCTCTTTCTCACTCGCAGATTCCAGGATAATGAAATGTTTTATTAAACTGAACTAAAATGTCAAGAGACTGGATGAAAAGTAACCAATGGACAAACTGTTTGTTGCTGTACTTAGAATAAAAACAGGAACATTTTTTAAAGAAAGTATCAACCAGATCATGTGACATCTTCAAGCTTTTTGTCTTTTTCTTCTGTTGATTCTGATCTGAAGTTTAAAAATTTACTGAAAAGTTTTCTGATCTGGAGACAGAAACAAACTCCTGAAAAATGATTTAATGATGAAGAACCAATGCGGAAAAAAGTTCTTAAAATGAGGAGAAATTTAGTAAAAATGTCACAAACACAATTTAAGAAAAAGGTATTAGATAAAAAGCTGATATTTATTAACTGGATAAAGAGACACTGATGAATAATTTCTATATTGTTTCATTAAATTCCTGAGGAAAACAGTGAATATGAGGGAAATTATATCCTGATGCAGCCAGAATTATTATTAAATTAAAGATATTAATATTCACCATGTTTATTTTTAGCTTTTAATCCAACTAACCTGCTCAAATAATTTATTATTTTTACTCAGGAACAAAAACAAATGAACTGAACATGAAATAGAACAGAACCGTTTCTGAATCATAACTTGAAGTATTGGATCCTAATGTACCAAGCAAGTCTGCATATCTGCTAAGAAATAATTAAGTTATAATGTAAACAAGTTTTCCACTTCAGCTTGATGAGGTTCTATTATCATTTAATGGTATTATTAAAGATAAACAAACATAACTTTTTGGTTTTGAACATTATGAAGTTCTGATCCGAACAACTCAGACTCAGGAAGCCAAACCAGATGTGATCAGATAAAATGACCCAGGTCACTGCTATGTAACGTGGTTTTGCTTTTTTATGGGTTTGAAATAAAAGTTGAGTTCAGCCCTCATGAAACCTGATTTTTTTTTTTTACACCAGCATCAGAATATTTCAGTTTCAGATGATCTTTCATGTTATTCACAGACAAAATGTCCAGAAAGGATCTTCTTAGATAAGAGACAAAAGTGCAGCAGAAATTTGCATGTGACCCAGGATGCAGAGTTTCATGCAGAGTTTCATGCAGAGTTTCATGCAGAGTTTCATGCAGCGTTTCATGCAGAGTTTCATGCAGAGTTTCATGCAGAGTTTCATGCAGAGTTTCATGCAGAGTTTCATGCAGAGTTTCATGCAGAGTTTCATGCAGCGTTTCATGCAGAGTTTCATGCAGAGTTTCATGCAGAGTTTCATGCAGAGTTTCATGCAGAGTTTGGTGTTCGCTGATGCATGTCACAGAAATCACTCAGCATTTTGTTGATGTTTGGCTTCCTGAATTACTGCCATCTGTTACAAAATCATGTCCAAGTATTTCAGTCACAGGTCTGGTTTTCCTCAGTTCCACTGGATAAAAAGTGTAAATAAATCAGTAAATAAATAATATTCTTCATCATAATGAGAAGAGTCTGTACAGACCTGAGTGGCTTCATTACTCATTATATTATTTCTGTTTTACGCCAATAATCCTATTGTCTAAACTGTTTAATCAACTGAAGAGTAAAACTATTTCCTGCTGACACATCGACAACAGAAGAACATTATTGGCTCTCTATTTACTCTGGACTCTCAAAATAATTTACCCTTTTTAGTGCAATATTTTATGAAGATTCTCATCGCATAATATAACACTGAAAAAGTGTGATTCAACTTTTATATTAAAACAATTAAGTCACAAGTGTTCAAGTTAAGTTTATCCAAGTAAATATATTAAGTTTATAAATCGTCACATTGAACAAAAGGAAATAAATTATGTTTGACAAATCAACTAATTTTTTAAGCTGTAACTCCATTCTTTAATCTAAATGGAGCAAAATACATAATTTTAGTGTCAAAGTGGTAAAGAAGGCACATTGATAGGAAGCGGTATGTGGCCCTCTGGTGGCTGAAGCAGGTACTACAACGGCAGTGAACGATGACATGTTGCATCAACAGGTTGGAGGAGATTTACTTTAACTTAAAGACTCTACGGTTTCTCTGGCATCAAATGCAGATCATTTAATTACATTCATTGGAGTAAATCTTTTCTCTTTGATGAATTTGTGTCATCAAGAAGAAAACAAACTAATTTTTATCTAAAACTGTCAGCACGACTTTAAACCTAATTATAATTAAATCTCTCTGAGGTCAATGCAAAGTCAGTTTGACTTAAAATCATGCTTAGAACGTATTCAACAACAATAAAGGTTAAACTACAACGTGTTCCAAATTTTTATGCAAATTGAATTTAAGTATTATAAAGACTACACTTTCTGTTGAAGTTATAAATGTTATTGTGTGTTCTTTTTTTCCTCCGAAGAGTTTTCAAGACGCTAGTGGCTTGTGTTTTTTACAGTAGGCAGACAGGAAAGAGGTGGGAGGACATGTGGCAAAGGTCACTGGGACTGGGAGTTGAACCAGCGACGTCCGTGTCTAGACTTAGACTTGACTTTATTTATCCCTTGGGAAGACCCTCAGGAAATTATAGTTACCAGCAGCTCACAGGCAAAAATGTGGCACACAGTAAGCATACACAAAGAATTCAAAAAAATACAAATTAAATACAAGGTACACAGTAAATATAATAAGAATATAAATACAAAACAAAGAATATAAATACAATTTATTGTATTTATAGCTTTCGGAGGCCTCCAGGCGTATGGCGCTTACCCCCTGTACCTCCACAGGGGCAATTGTGTGTTTGAATCAGTATAATTAATTTCAGTTTGTCTGGTGGACTCAATTAAAGGAAATCTATTTAACAAGGATGATCCACATTATTAAGCAGGCCACAGGTTTCAAGCAATATGGGAAAGATAAAGGATCTCTGCTGACCAAAATCATCAGATAGTGTCATGCTGTATGACAAGGTCTGAAAACATCAGATTTTTAATGAAAACTGAAGCGTTATCATTGTATGGATAAGGAGAGAAGAGATTTGTGGCTGATTCAGAACAAAGATATGTTTGTACAGATAAAAGCATAATGAGGAAGGTTTCTGTTAGACTAATTCATCGGATTAAGAGAGCAGCTGTTAAAATGTCTTTACAAAGCAGCAAACAGTTATTTGAAGCTGCTGGTGCCTCTGGGTGGAGGATCCTTCAGAAACTTGTGGTGCATGAACCGACTATTAGGCTCCCCTAACCAGAGCTCACAAGCAGAAACGGTCACACTGAGCCCAGCCGTACATGAAGATTCATTTTCAAACAGACTTGCTCACTGATGACTGCTGTGCAGATGGACGCAGTAGTGGATTGGTGGTGGACGGCCACCACATCCCAACACGACTATGACGTCAGCAAGGAGGTGGTGGAGTCATGCTTTGGGCTGAAATCATGGGGAGGGAATCATTGGTCGGCCCCTTCAGAGTCCCTGAAGGTGTGAAAATGACCTCAGTAAAGAATTTGGATTTTCTGACTGATCACTTTCTTTCATGGTTCAAAAAGAGCCGGACCTTCAGTAGTAAAATCATCTTCATGCATGACAATGCACCATCTCATGCTACAAGGAATACCACTGTGTCATTGGCTGCTATGGGCTTAAAAAGGGGAGAAACTCATGATGTGTCACCATCCTTCTCTGACCTCTGACCCTCTTGAGAACCTTTGGAGTTTCCTCAAGCAGAAGATCTGAGTCTGGGATGCAGTTCATATCAAGCAGCATCTTTGGGAAGATTTTCTGACAACCTGCAAAGAAATTCAAGCAGAAACTTTCAACAAACTCACAAGTTCAATGGATGTTAGGATTGTGCAGGTGATAACAAAGAAGGTCCCATGTTAACATGTAACTCTGTCTGTTAAGATGTTTTTGATTGAAATAGATTTTCATTTTAGTACATGTGACCACAAAACATTCAAAGAATGACATGTTGCGGTTCTTTAAAATTCATAAAATGCTAAGAAAATCTGCTTTGTGTAATAATTTGGAGTTTTTTATTTTTGAAAAAAGAAATACTGTTCTCAAGGGAGCTTTGTTCAGTAAAATTAGATTTCTACTGTAACAGTTCATGATCAACATTTGCATTGACCATTTAAGAAAATCTGAGAAAATATGACTTGCATAATGATTTGGAACATGGTGTATTCACCCTCTTTAAAGTGAGCGAATTCAACAGAGGTCCAGCCAATTGGTGCTGGTCGTCTGAGTGTTTTCTGTGATTATAGTATGGAACCAGAACCAGCCGGTTCTGGTTCTGGAAGGTCTGTTCACTGGTTCATCAGTATCCTGGCTACTCAAAAACACTCCAACTAATCAAAGAAAAGGTTAATGAAAGGTATCAGTCAGGGGATGCATGCTGAAACATCTGAGTATCTGCCATGGTGGCCTTCTTCTTCTGCTGAACTAGCTGAGGATTTTTGTCCAGTCATAATGCTCTAGCTCTCAAAAACAGCAAGGGGGGAAAAACTGGCTGTGCAGGAAATCCAGGAAGCTTCATCCTGACGTTTCCCACGGAGGCCATAGTTCTTCTCAGTGAGTCCAAAGCGGCCCAGTCCCGGTTCCCCTTCATGTTGCTAATCCCGGCTTCATAGGAAACATCAGATTAATCCACTCATTTAGCTCGGGACACTTTGTGTCCTCCACTGTCTTCAGATGGTCCTGCATGCTGTCACCAGACCGTAAAGAAACCATCTGGGTGTTTAGCTTTTCGGATCCGTCTCCCACTGAACCAGTTCTGGAGTCCAATGGATCTCTGAGCCGAGCCAAGATTTTACTCCAAAAGGTGAAACCAGAGAAAAGTCGCAGAAACAGGGCAATATGTTCCCACCTCAGTCTGACATTCCCAACATCATGTCTGCATTATTTCCATTCTGTTGTCTGTGGATCATTAATTATTTCATGTTTGACAATAGTTTGCATGTTTGCCAGTGGATTCTTCCCTCAACACAACATCATGTCATGTTTATTTGTTTACTAGCTGATCAAGACAAGGCATGCAAAATCCAAAAACAACAGGACTGGAAAATAGCAAACATGCTAATTATTTTTCCCATTTAATCAGATAAAGACTGAAGATCAAACATTTGATACTAATGTTTGTCCTTCAGCCTTATTTACTTATGGTCTGATGCAAATAATTAGTTCTTGAATAATCAAATCAAAAGTCAGAATAATTCTCGTGAAGTTCCTGTTTTTCAGTGATAAAACCCAGAAACTGTTTCCTGTGAGTTCAGTCTTGGTTCCTGCAGAGGAAGAGGAGACGTTCTTCGCTGCTGGGATCTTCGTCTTGCATCGTCGGCTGCAGTTTCTCATTTTCTCTGAGCGTTTCAGCCGTCAGTGATGAATATCAACATCCTGGGTAAGAAAGTCCTCAAAAACATTTCAGTTTTTATTATTTTCTGTCAGAAAACAATAAAATATTTATTTCAGTAACCAGATTATCACACACAATATTGTTATGTTACTATTTAGCAGCGAGTTTAATTAGACATAGAGTCTAATGTGTGAAATGAAATAAAAGTGTCTTTAATTAAAACTGAAGTTTGTTGGGCTGCTTGAAAAAAACTCCATTTGGATTTTTAACACCAAAAGAGCAAAACATCATTTATTTATCTTTATGTCCTTTTAGCCACATTTAGGACTTTAAACATAAATTAACGTGTTTATTAATATTAAGGTAGAAAAACAAACAGATATTTAAAACTTTAAGTAGCATCCTGTCATCAGACTTTCAAAATAAAAGTGTTGGGACGTCAACGTCCTGACTGCTTCTAAAATTATGAATGAATTAAATGTGAGATTTTTGATCTCTAGCACTTTAAAGTAACGTTGGTCCAAAGTATAAATAAAATTTATTCACATCAAATTATTAACGAAATAACATCAATTTAACACAACCTCCCCAAAAAACAGAAAAATAAACATTTAAAGTATATTTTAAAATTAAAAATTATTGCCAGGCTTTTATATTCTGATGAAATGTTACTTATAATTTAATTTGATCTTATTTCAAGTTTTGCACCAGAAACCAGAAATATTTAAGATTTTATGATTCTGCAGAAACTTTTCAGATTCACATTTAACGTTACTTTATTTCCAGCTTTTTCTTTCTTTTTATGATTTATATTTGATTATTTTAATTTTATATCTAAATATGTTTTCAAGTCTAAAAATTCAACAATATAATGTTTGGATTATATTGTAAATAAAAATGCAAAATTTATGATGAATTACTTGATTGCAATGGAAAATTATTTAATTTAGAAAATTCTGTTGTTTTGATTTAATTCAATAAATCAATTTATTTTAAAATTTGACACATTTATGTTTATAATATTTACTGAAAACATAAAGTCTCATTTATTTGTTTCTTGTATTGCTGTTTGATTGCATTTACTTTGAATGTATTTTATTTGAATGTTTTTTTATAAATATATATTTTCTGTGTTTGAAGATAAAATATTGTGTGTCTAACTCGTAGCAGCAGCAGTTGAATTATATTTGATCTTGTTTTATTCTTTGCAGGTACCAAAGTCCATGATGCCTTGGTGGTTTTTGGGCTGTGTGTCCTGGTGCTGTTTGGGTGCGTTGGGGTAATCTCTTGGGGTAAGTCCTATTTGTCCTCTGGACAAAGACTTTGGTCATTTCCTTTATGACTTTAGGGATGACAGCCCAGCTGCTGTATGTCTGCACCATCCATTGTAATGTCCACCAACTTATGGCAGCTCTGGCCTCCCGTACTTTCGGCCGATCTCAGATAAGATCATCAGGATCAATGTGTGGAGATGCTGCATGGTGGCTTCGTGTTATTTGGCTGATGCTGCACTGAGATTTTGTTTCCTTTGCAAACTTTGTGTTCACCTGGCTGACATACTGGATGGCAGGACTTCTCTACTACTGTAAAAATGTTTCCTGTCTTTGTGGGATTAAAGTTAGGTGAACATTTAGATGCAAAAGGAGGAAATATTGAGAAATGAGGCGCCATCATGCAGCGTTGAACACCAAGCATCGATTTATCACTGGAACACACTTCCTGTTTGGTTTTCAGTTTTTATACAAACATGATTTGAACTAAAAGTCCAAGTCAGTTCCTAAATCATTTGTGAATTTCTAAAGATGAGTCATTAATGATTCAAGAAACATGACTGTAGTTCACACTTTGCTTTTTGTCAAACCAAAGTTTAGATGATAATAAAACTCCTTGTTGATGATCAATACATTCAAACATGTTAGATGATGACTGTCAGAAGGTTAAACAAATAACCCAACTTATGAGCAGTTAAGATCCTTGTTCTGATTTTCTTTTTCTGAATAATTTGTTTCCTCGCATTTACAGGCGGTTGGAAAATAAACCAACAGGATGAAAAACACTCAGAAGACACAACATATTTAAAGAGTCTGGCTGATAAGCTGAAGAATGAAATGAAAAATCACAGAATGAAACTGAGAAACTGAGCAACCAAATTCAGAACCTGAATGAAAAATTACAGAATGAAACTGAGAACCTGAACCAGACAATCCAGTTAATGCAGAAATTCAAAACCTTCCTGTTCAATAAGTACTGCAACGGCAAAGGTGAGTCCATAACTCTGAGATGTTTTGTAACTCTGAGATTGAGACATTGAGACACGTCTTTAAACATCTGGGATGTTTATGAACAAAGAAAGTGAATGAAAAAAACACTGTAAAACAGAATATAGTCTAAAAAATTCTAATAATATCAGCAAACGGACAGGAAGACGTGAAACATTAACAGATAAAATGTCACTGAAGAGCCACGATACAAACAGAAACTGTTTTTTAGTTTAAATTAATACATTTTTGTTATTTTCTGTCTCCAGAGTGTCTGCTGTGTCCGATAGGTTGGATCTTCTTCAGTGATTCATGTTACTTTATCAGTAATGTTTCTTTGACCAGGAATGAAAGTCGTCGTTTCTGTCAGTTAAAATCTGCTGATCTGGTTGTTATTAATAATCAGCAGGAACAGGTGAGCTCTGACACCAATCATGTTACAAATTCAAAATGTCAGTGTGGGACAAAACTTTACCTTCTTGATGATTTTCAATGTTGTAATTAACAGGAATTCATTTATAACAACATAAATAACGGATACTACTGGTTGGGGCTGCAAAGAAGTGGGAGCAACTGGGTTTGGATTGACGGTTATGTCGACACACTTGGGTAAGAGATTTCACACAGAAAACAAAGTAAAGAAAAATTAAGTATTACTCATCATTGCATCTGTTACGTATCATTGTGTTAAAATAGCTCAGTTAAAAGAAACTATTTGATTTTACATTTTCTGATGTTTGTGTTTCTCATTTAAAGGAACTGGAGATGGTATGACTATTACTATTACTATAATGGTGCATGTGCAGTGATGTATCGATCAGGGTATCCCACAGCGAGCTGGGGAACGTCATATTCATCTTCAAGCACATACCGCCCCCTCTGTGAGCTGAAAGCCTTCACAGTGTCTCTGAATTAACTCTGTTGCTGTTTTAAATACACATATATATATAAAGATTCATTGTTGATTGTTCTTTACTATAATTCTGTTTGATTCAGTCAATATATTTCATTAATTTACTAAAATTACTAAAACTGCTAATCAAAGTGTCATTAAGGTGCAGAAACCCACCAGATGAATGATTTTAAATAAGTTTATCTGAGAATTAAAACAGATTATATTTGATTCATTGACACATTAAATTAAAATGATTAAAACACGTTTTATAATCCTACAAGTAAATTATAGATTTTATATGTACTTGATTTTAGTTACTGTTAGAAACATTGTTTTATGTTTGTGGGTTTTGTCACAAGTGTAATCTTTGATTTATTCTTAAATAACAATAATCTTTGGCCTGGATTGCAAATCAAAACCAAAAATTAAAAAAATTATGCAAATAAAACCGTTCAGAGATCAATAAACTTTAGATTCTGATGAATATTTAACACAACGACTGGAAGATATTTTAAATATAAAAATAAAACATAGAAATAATTAATAAAACGGACAGTGGCGTCGAAAAACTGTCCCTGAAATAAAGATCCAGTTGAGACGAAAGCAGCAGAATGAAACTTCTGTCATCATGTTTTTGGTAAAAAGAGAGAAAGAAAAATGAAAAATAATAAATCATGCAGTTGGAAATTATTGAGCTAATTTTAATTTACCTCACATTTTATTGATTTATTGCATCAGGCCAGTTTGTAATAGTAAAATATTTTAATAATTTTTTATTCTGGTTGTGTCTCTTTGCTGATGTGGCACCAGAATCTCCTCTGTGGGTCAATCAAGGATGTTTTTTCTTCTTTATGTAATCATGTTTTTATTGAATACACTTTATAGAAAACGTTTTTGTGTAAAATATGAGATTTGGATTTAATGGGGTCTTTGACTATTTAGTAAAATGTTTTTGCTTCTTTTCTGTCGTCACATGATTGTAATCAGTTGATAGTTTCTGTTTTGCCTGCTGAGCTTCATGATAATATTGTTTAGTACAAATAAAGTGAGATGCTGATGTCGTGTCTCAGCCTCTTCATTGTCAGCATCACATGTCTGCAGTTGGACCAGTGATGGTTCACACCACCAGTCTGGGTCCAGATCTGCCTCTGAAAACTGGTTTCCTGACTCGGGTCGGGTCGGTTCCCCTCACAGACCAACAGACTCCCCTCTCCTTCTTCTCAGTCACACCTGGTTCTTATCAAACCGGAGTTCAAGTTGCTTTTCTTCTTTTCCTCTCAGATCTTTTAAGCGCTGACACGCTGCAGCTTACATAACCATGTTTATGTGTGACAGTCGTATGCAAACAGACTGAACTGACTGCACCACCCTTTAGGGAGGATCAGTTTGCAGAGAAGAATAAAAAGCTCAACTCTTCAGGCTTTGTCTCTCTTGGTTCCGTCCATCAGCTGAGCTCAGTGGCCCGGCGCCGGACGGTGAACGTAACATCTGATCCACTTGTACGACATGAACAGCTTGTAACATTTGATCATTTTTCAGCATTAAAGCCTGAAACCAAATGTCTTTATTATTCACAGTGATGAATAATATCACTGTAAATAATATTATTTATTATTTACAGCATTAAATAAATAATATTTCAGCATTAAAGCCTGAAACCAAATGTCTTTATTATTTACAGTCAGGGGTTCTGGTCGGGTTCTGGACCTGGTTAACAGACCTGGTGCAGCACAGGTTTCTTTTCAGTGATTAAATTGCTTTGCTCTCAGCATAAGTTTATTATTTTAATGTCTGAACTTTAGTCCATCCTGTCTTAACCCCCCGACAGGATGAGATACAAAATAACAAATATTAGCTCCACTAGAGAACAACAAGATGGAGTCCAGGAGATAATCAGCAGCAGGGATACAAACCGGACCGAGTCCAAATGTTTCCAACTGCAACAAATACATCAGGACACAAAAATGCAAAAATAAATAGAAATAGTTTTTTTTAAAAACATAAATAAAAATGTTTTTATTTTTAAATATTTTTATTAGCCTGACTGCCAGCATCTCTTCTGCAGTGAACATTTCACAGCCAGGTGAAGTGAGCAGCGTTTGCTCATCCAGCTGCAGAGACGCTCAGTGCAGCAGATTCAGCTCATCATGCAGGGCCGGTCCAGGGTCCAATGAGGCCTTGTGCAGAGTTTGATTTAGGGGCCCCTCTTGCTGCTAAGAACATCAGCACCTTTAACATCATTTCACCTTAAACTTAGTAAAATCTGGGAGAAGGCGCCTGGTTTAGTTTGCTGGCCAATCAAATGTAATTGTATTTTTCTAAGATGTTTTTATGAACAGCTAAAACTCAAAGATTAATGAGAGCATCAGATTGTTGCTCTGGCAACAAAACAATCTAACTATGAAGATTGTTCTTAAAATATTAAATGTAAATGATCATTTAAAATCTTTTAATTTATCTATAGATGAAACCATTGAATGAAATTTATCAGCCTTAGTTCATTTATGCTTTGGGCCGGTTCTAAATGTCATCAGCATCACTCCGTTTTTAGATCCACTAACTGATGAATTAATTTGGATTTAACAAAAGTGCAAATAATTGATTCTTGTAATAATTTAATTGTATTTTTATGTGATGTTTTTAAGACTCTGTAGTTGAGGGTTTAAGTGTTTGCAGTGTTTTCCAGTAACATAATTAGCCAGTAAATTTTACATTTCCTGTCTAATGATCATCTTTTAAACCAAACCCCAGTGGACGCTGTGGGGCCCCGTCCACCGGGCTCAGCAGGTTTTCTGGGCTAAACCCCGTTGATGTTCCTCAGGGTTTGTTTGGAGACAGTTTCTGTTCTCAGATCTGATCAGCTTTTTCCTTCCATCCTGATTTTCATCGTGACATCTGGTACTGATATGCACTTCAGCCCCAGCGCAGCCTGCAGCCATCACCGCCCTGGATGAGAGATAACACTGAAAGGTCGTCCTTTCATCAAACTTTCCCCAAGAGCAATGCAAAGAATGTCGTGACAAAACCTCCCAGGTTGAGAGATGCAGGTTTGATAACAGACATCGCTGCCAGACGTTTCTTTATTTCCTCTTTCTCACTCGCAGATTCCAGGATAATGAAATGTTTTATTAAACTGAACTAAAATGTCAAGAGACTGGATGAAAAGTAACCAATGGACAAACTGTTTGTTGCTGTACTTAGAAATAAAAACAGGAACATTTTTTAAAGAAAGTATCAACCAGATCATGTGACATCTTTCAAGCTTTTTGTCTTTTTCTTCTGTTGATTCTGATCTGAAGTTTAAAAATTTACTGAAAAGTTTTCTGATCTGGAGACAGAAACAAACTCCTGAAAAATGATTTAATGATGAAGAACCAATGCGGAAAAAAGTTCTTAAAATGAGGAGAAATTTAGTAAAAATGTCACAAACACAATTTAAGAAAAAGGTATTAGATAAAAAGCTGATATTTATTAACTGGATAAAGAGACACTGATGAATAATTTCTATATTGTTTCATTAAATTCCTGAGGAAAACAGTGAATATGAGGGAAATTATATCCTGATGCAGCCAGAATTATTATTAAATTAAAGATATTAATATTCACCATGTTTATTTTTAGCTTTTAATCCAACTAACCTGCTCAAATAATTTATTATTTTTACTCAGGAACAAAAACAAATGAACTGAACATGAAATAGAACAGAACCGTTTCTGAATCATAACTTGAAGTATTGGATCCTAATGTACCAAGCAAGTCTGCATATCTGCTAAGAAATAATTAAGTTATAATGTAAACAAGTTTTCCACTTCAGCTTGATGAGGTTCTATTATCATTTAATGGTATTATTAAAGATAAACAAACATAACTTTTTGGTTTTGAACATTATGAAGTTCTGATCCGAACAACTCAGACTCAGGAAGCCAAACCAGATGTGATCAGATAAAATGACCCAGGTCACTGCTATGTAACGTGGTTTTGCTTTTTTATGGGTTTGAAATAAAAGTTGAGTTCAGCCCTCATGAAACCTGATTTTTTTTTTTTACACCAGCATCAGAATATTTCAGTTTCAGATGATCTTTCATGTTATTCACAGACAAAATGTCCAGAAAGGATCTTCTTAGATAAGAGACAAAAGTGCAGCAGAAATTTGCATGTGACCAGATGCAGAGTTTCATGCAGAGTTTCATGCAGAGTTTCATGCAGAGTTTCATGCAGCGTTTCATGCAGAGTTTCATGCAGAGTTTCATGCAGAGTTTCATGCAGAGTTTCATGCAGAGTTTCATGCAGAGTTTCATGCAGAGTTTCATGCAGCGTTTCATGCAGAGTTTCATGCAGAGTTTCATGCAGAGTTTCATGCAGAGTTTCATGCAGAGTTTGGTGTTCGCTGATGCATGTCACAGAAATCACTCAGCATTTTGTTGATGTTTGGCTTCCTGAATTACTGCCATCTGTTACAAAATCATGTCCAAGTATTTCAGTCACAGGTCTGGTTTTCCTCAGTTCCACTGGATAAAAAGTGTAAATAAATCAGTAAATAAATAATATTCTTCATCATAATGAGAAGAGTCTGTACAGACCTGAGTGGCTTCATTACTCATTATATTATTTCTGTTTTTACGCCACTAATCCTATTGTCTAAACTGTTTAATCAACTGAAGAGTAAAACTATTTCCTGCTGACACATCGACAACAGAAGAACATTATTGGCTCTCTATTTACTCTGGACTCTCAAAATAATTTACCCTTTTTAGTGCAATATTTATGAAGATTCTCATCGCATAATATAACACTGAAAAAGTGTGATTCAACTTTTATATTAAAACAATTAAGTCACAAGTGTTCAAGTTAAGTTTATCCAAGTAAATATATTAAGTTTATAAATCGTCACATTGAACAAAAGGAAATAAATTATGTTTGACAAATCAACTAATTTTTTAAGCTGTAACTCCATTCTTTAATCTAAATGGAGCAAAATACATAATTTTAGTGTCAAAGTGGTAAAGAAGGCACATTGATAGGAAGCGGTATGTGGCCCTCTGGTGGCTGAAGCAGGTACTACAACGGCAGTGAACGATGACATGTTGCATCAACAGGTTGGAGGAG